GTTATTGATTAACTTAACTCGCAAAAATATAAAAAGTAAGAGTCTCCACCTGACTTTATTGTTTCCAAAGAAATGAGAAAATATCGATAACACCAAAAAAAGATCTAGGTACGGGGATTGTTTATGCAAGGGGGAAGTTATTAACACCCTTAACATCTACGGTACTCCGTACGAACCTCTTGAAAATTTGTGTTAGGCTAAAACGGTTATTTGTAAAAAGATTGGGAAGATGAGAAGAGAAGTGTTTTTTTATTATTTTTTGGTTCGCCAAGACTTTGAGAGCCTTGTGTCTATGTATCCTCCATGTGCAATGAAGAAGTCAAAACCCCGTAGATTTTGTAAAAAGGAACAAAATGATGTTTGTTTGATTAATTTTAATGAAAAGACATTTAGTAATTTTTTAGGGAAAAACTCAACTTATCACCCACAAGTATGAGAAAGTGGACATGTGCATCATCTTGATGGAGAACTTTAGCTTAGATAAAATCGACAAGCATGTCTTAACATTCAAGTGGAAAATATCAACATCTCAATTATACTATGAGAACAGGAGATTTACATCACTACAAGATGGTGACTTATGTATAATATTTCCAAAAAGTTTGAAAAGAAAAAGTGTAAGAGCATACAATTGATTTGATGATATTTGTGTATTTTTAGAGTTTTTGAAATGATCTTAATATGCTTAAGTGTTTTACCCTTTATTAAGAAAAATTTTTGAAAATCACTTGATAGAGTCAAAGTTTGTTTTGAAAGTGGTTTCAAGTTTGAAACAAGAAGGTCTTGAAAAAATAGAAAAAACTTTGAAAATTTAAGAATGGGAGGAGATGAAGAGACTATCCTAAATCAAAGTAAAGGACAAGAAATAAATGATCTCATTGTAAGGTAGTCCAAGAAAAAGCCTTTGTGTGTGCAAATGAACTAACTAGGATAAAATAAGCATTTTGGCATAAGTCAAAACAACCATAGCATTCCCTTCCTTTGGATTAAGCCACAAGAAAGCCATGTATCATATGAAAACTCAAGGATTTAGATAAAATCACAAAGCCTTAAGTTCTAAAGAGAAAGCAAAGTCTTAGGTAAACCAACAAAGTATCATATGAAAATAACCAAAGTTCAAAGCTAAGTTTTCAAATGTTGATCATTGTTGCAGATGAACTTCTAAGGTCTCTGGTACAAACTACAAGCATGGGAACAATAACCTTATATCTAAGTTCAAAAGTCCAATTCTAAGCAAAGGATAGTTACATCAAGTCCATGAATCAAGATTAAACATGTTTTAGGGTTTTGATACCTTGAGACAAACTTATCATCAATCCAAAGTATAAAAAATGATCAAATAATCATTTATTGATAGATTTGAAATGAAGAAAGTTCATCAAGCACCAATCTAAATTTCATTTTAACAAGATGAGCTTCAATCAACAAAAATTGACCAAGTCAACCAAAAGTCAGAATCACAAATCATCAAGACAATCAACTATATATATTAAATTGAATTTAAAATTATTTTAAAATGGTTTAATAATGGAAATTAAAAATAAAATCCAAAAGAAATACAAATGCATTTGCTTGTATCTTAACTACTGCATTCTACATCAGATCACTTTACACTCTCATCAACACATTTTTGAGTAAGTTTCTCATTTAGCTTATTTTGAATTTTGATTAATGTATTAGCTCAAATAAGTTAGTTCTAATGCATTAGATAGTATTAGCATTTGAAATAAATTATGTGTAGGATCTGTTTATATGATTTGGATGATTTGGATGAGTTTTGGATGGCTAAAACAATGGCAGAGATGTTTCTGCCATGGAAATGTAAAAACGAAGTTTTTTTCGAAGATGTATCTCCGAAGTTTGTTTTTCTAGTGTTTGGAGATACATCTCCAAATTCTTTCCTTCCTCATATACTAATATCATTTGTTATGTTTTTTTCAAGGATAATGATTGAAAATAATGAAAGAATGAGACTCGGTCGACCAACCTTAACCGTGTCTTCTCGCCGCGAGAGGACTCGTAAGCATAAGCATGCTAGAGTCATCCATATGCCTCACGACAGGGAGGCGTCGACCTCTAGGAGTCGAATATAACGGGGATCGGGATCCTATAGTCGTATGCACCATGATGTGGTTCCCGAGTTACACTACAAGTCTCAGTTGTTGAGAATGCCCCACTTGCAAACCCTTTTCCAAGAGGGCCTACAAACAATTCTTTACTGATATACTTTGGAGAACATGTGGTTCTGCATATCTGGGACGGAGAGGTATATTTTTTAACGGTTCTATTTTTTATATTTTAACCAAATTCAACTTGACTGAGACTGTTATATTTTATTTTCAACGGGAACGTGAGTTTCTGAAATTTGTGAACCATGCAAGAAAGATTCACAATCATTTTCAGCCTCATGGTGAGTGGTTCTAAGTGCATTACAGATCTCTGATCTTGCAAGTCTTTGTGCTTCTGGGTACAACACCATCATCCATAGCATGCAGACTGCATTTGTTGAGAGATGGCACAACGAAATAATATCTTTTCACCTCCCTATTGACGGGATGACTATTATGTTAGATGATGTAGCTTACCTTGTACAACTTCTCATCAGAGGAAGTTTGCTTGATCATTCTAAGATTACCAGGGATGAAGCAATAGATATTATGGTGGATTATTTGGGAGTTGACCCTACGGAAGCCTTTGAGCGGTGTAGAAGCACCAAGGGTGAACATGCCGAGTTTTCTTGGTTGGTGAAGTTGTATGGCAACAACCTAGAGATAGCTGAAGACCTGAACGCCGATGATCTTTGGATTGCCCACCACATAGAGTGTGCCCCAAGGTGCTTCTTCCTGTTCTTGGTTGACACATTCATGTTTGTAGACAAAAGTGTTACCTATATGGATGTGACTTACCTCAAATATTTCATCGACTTAGATGCCATTCACGAGTGGAACTAGAAGACTGCATGCTTGATATACATGTACTCGAAGCTGAGCGAATGCTCTCATTGGATGACAAAGCAAATGACAAGCTCATGCACCCTGTTATGGTAATTTCCAAAATCCACTATTAAGTTAAAAACAACTTTTTTTCACACTTGTTACTAATATTTTTTTCTTATTCGTTTTCAGAGATGGATCTTTGTCCACTATCACCGCATTCACAGGTTTCGATATGACCTATCGTATAATGAGGGTTATCCATTTGCTTGTCGATTTCTCCATAATAGAGGGAATGACGAAGTGGTGGCATTTTGTGTGTATATTGATCGGACTCATTATGATGACATCATCTGGATGTCATACACTACTCATCGAGACACTATTACAGTCGATCATATTTCATTATACTCCAAATGGTTGCCAGAGTAGTGCATACAACAATTTGGATACTTGTAGATTATTCTGAGGTCCTTTCTCCGGGCTATTCCTATCAACATTGTCTGCAGACAACTATATGACATTCTGGCGGATTTTGAGAGTCGTCTGATACTAGAGGAGTATCGGAGTCAGGAAGTCACGTCTCAGTGATCTTATGTGGAAGATTACATGACACTATTCTATAGAGTGTCACACCTTTACATGACACCAGACGCTTTTGGACGTCCACTTAGTCCTGCTCATGAGAAGATCCTGGAGAATGAGCAGACCATGGAAGATCATGTCATTGATATGTTGTCGATCTGTCAAAATATTATGCAGATGACAGAAGAGAGCATCGAGTCTGTGTTGTTTGAGTGAGGTGGCGATGAAACGATTGACCTAGCACGTTCCATTTTTACCGAAGCACAAAATCCTTGTGTTACCGTAGGCAGAGGAGGGGTCGGGGTATTACGATTAAGCATACTCAATAGAGTATGCTTTTAATTGTATTTTGTATATTTTTCAACGACTTAGAGAACAATTTTTATACTATTATAGTATTTCTGATATTTTAACACATTGCTCGATTTTATAATATTCATTTTTATTAATCGTTGAAACAAATAATTGTAATGTTAGTCGATTTAAAATGATGTCAGGATGAAAAAACTACACTCTCAGCAGAATTTACTCCACGAATAGTTCACAAATACATCTCAGAAATATTTTCCTTAAGAAAAGTGGTGTCTATTTGATCTACAAAAAGAAATTACTTCAGAGATGTATCTGTGAATTAACCTTGAATTTATTCAGATATTCATCTCTAAATTATATTTTGCCAAAAAAAAAAAAGAGATTTAATGCATTCTGAGATATATCTCTAAATAAATCCAAGAGTTTTTGAATTCCATTGTACAAAGGTGCAGTGAAATATTACCCCATGAGTTAAAAGAAAAAGTAAAGGTTATTGGTCATTTGGAATTTCAACCTTCACATTCAGGATGGTTCTTCAAATATCTAAAACAGATCTATTATTAAAAATTTAGAGAATGTAGAGAGTTTGACTGAGTTCCACTCATACACATTTTGAAGTAAAGTTCATTGATGTTCTAACAAAGTTCAAGTTGAGGTCCATGCTGCATAAGTAGCGTGAGCAAATGTCATGTAAAGATCAATATGACATGCATTTTAAAAAGTTCAACAATTTTAGAAATCATTTAAACTTTTACATTCACTTAAATACTAAATCATTTTTCTATTCATAACTAAAATCGGGATATGGCATGCAATAAGTTTGTAATAAAAATCCTCTAAAAAAAGTTTTGTAATAAAAATGAGGGCATGAGCAAAATCGATGAAAGCATCAATTACTATATAATAAACAGTAATGCCAGTTTGAACAAGCTCTCCACAGAATACTCCACAGATTCCGGGCATGAGCAGCTTATTTAAAATTTCTTCAGTTTTCAAATGAAAGTATTTGTAGCCAAAAAAGAAAAGGATTTCTATTACAATGATCCTAGACCCAAGTTTTGCATAACATTACCAGCAGCAACTCTTTAATGTTGTTCATAACAAGGAAATTTTTTTTGACAAGATTAGAACACCCACGCCAGCGATGTAATCGATAGTCCCAGTCCCCAATTATTCGTATTCTTTATAGTCTTTGGTTCCGAAGTTCTTGCACCACATTTGGGAAGGGATTGGGCGAACCGGGTGATGTGGTCGTTGCTGAATAAATGATTAAAAAGTTACTGTTAGTCATTATAATATATATTAGTTATGGCAAAATGGTAATGGTAAACATCATAAAATTATACTGTTCATCATTACAAAAAATTCGGGCACTTGAAAAGTATAAACAGAATAACAGCAACTAGAAAAAGTAGAACTAGATTCTTCCAAAAGGTAATTCAACTCATCCATCCATTTCCAAAGTAAATCATGAGTAAGTTTTCTGGTTGTTGCAAAGCCAAATAAATATTCTATTTTATATGCAGAGAATTCGACAATTCAGAGAGCATAAGATGCATATGAAAAAAAAAATGCCCCGGGAGAAGTAGCTATTCAACATTACTGAAAAACCCCAATAATGTGATGAATTTAATTAGTTAAAAGATTACTATACAAGTCTAACGCTTTCTATTCAAGATAAAAGTATTTAATTTAATGCCCAAGAGACATTAAAGGGGAAAAAACATAGGGAGAATATAAAGCTATCATAGTCACTTGCAATTCATGTATATATACAGCTTCATTCCACTCATAATTGTAGATTTGGGGGAAGACAAAAAGAATCTAAGTTTACAGACAACATATTCGAAATAATTTTGGGGGACTGCAGGAAAATCCCAAGAAACTGCAGCAAAAAGACTTCGCTAGTCACATTTTGGTATAAACCTGACCTAATTTGGTAGATTTAACAAACAACACCTATTGAAATGATGCAAAAAAAATTAAACAGCAGAAAATAAGGTGATATTTTTCTAGTTAAAATGTAGCAAGTGAAACACGAATAGAAAAAGTATACTCAGAAATTTGTTTCTTTCCCTGGAAAAACAAAGAAATAATGAAATGTAGAGCAGCTGATTGTTGTTATTTTCAATCATACAGATGAAACACAACTTCCCATATTTCCCAACTTTATGTTGCAGGGAACTCTGTTGGAAGAGTGCAATAATTACCGCAGACACCAATACACTCAATCCCTGCCCAGAACAAGGCTTTATTCTGCTGTTACACTTAAATTGTTTTGACCTACACTCTTTGGAATAAATTTACACTCTGCAGATACATTGAAGATTGGGGATACAGGATAGACAATACTGACAAACGTATACTGTGAAATAATGTTCTTTTGAATTTGACCTATCTTTTTGTGAGAGGAACAAAATTCTAACAAGCAATATGTATTCTTTCCCTATAAAATTAGCAAATTTTTAATTTGGTCTTTATTCAATTTTTTTTTTTTGTTTTTAATCCCTACAGTTACAAATAATACTAGTATGTTTTTAGTCACTCGCCAAGGACTAAAGAGCATTTACAAATTTAAACAATAAGCATTTGCAGAATACAGTTTACAGTTCACACCAAATGAAATTTTGAAATAAATAAATCCACCATTTATCATAGGTTTGTACTTGTGTTCTTAACTCGTGTCAAAAATCCTCAATTTCAAAGGATGGTATAAAACCTCACCACATAACAACTAAAGCCTTTCACACTAGGTGAGAATTGCTACATGGATCAAACAAAACCATAATGCCCTATCATGAATCTTGTCTAAAGATAGACCACTTAATCCTCTTAATAGTTTGGCACAAATTTTGTGATCTTTCCCGGGGGCACAGTATTGAACTATCCTCCAGGACTCCAACTATTTCTGCGAATCATCTCCAAGTCTCCAATCCACAATGACTAAATTACCAAAAACAAGACTCTCATCTTTAGTACAATGGGAGAAACCTCAATTCTCTTTATAATAATTTGATTCATATTCCTATATTGTTGTGTGCCTAGTGCTGACTCATTCGCAACATTGAGCTTACTTTCTAGTTGTCTCTTTATCGTCCAGTATTCAGTTCCATACTACATATGACGGTCCAGTAAAATTTTCCTATAAGTGTTGTTTCGATCACAAATAACAGCTTGGGTACCTTGATTAAGACCAATCTCCTGTCTCTACTCCCTATCATACTGTATAATGAAACTACAATACTTAGGCCATGGAACTTTAGGAATGTTACTCTCCAATTTTCACATATAAGCTAGAATTTATGTACTTCTCGCTAAACTTTACATTTCACAAACTCAGATGCACCTCTACTAAAGCCCCAGCCTTAAGATAATTTCAAATTCGACGTCAAAGTCAATGTTCTAGTACAGCAGTATTGCACAGAAAGATTGCACAAAACAAAAGCTACAATGACAGAACAAGAAAGCAGACCCAAATAAGCTAAAAAAGCATACACCCCATTCCCTTCTTTAACATCCAAGAAGAGTAACTTAAAAGTCCATTTTCCTCTCATAATTCCAAGAACAATATTAAACTAATAAAAAGAATTTAAGCAGACAGGCATAAATTAAAGAATAATAAAAAGGAATGGATACAAAGACAGATAAGAAAAATTCCAATCTCTTATTGTCTCCCTCCTAACTCAAATGCCAACCCTTAAGCAACACAATGAACTTTTATTACAGTACCTATGTATCAGCACAAATCTCACTTACCCTTTCATTTACAAATGCATAAAACGAAACCATCGCCACATAACAATTCAGAGCCATACTTTCTACACACACAATCAACAATATATAACAATAACAACACTCCAGCATCCTAACCAGGTTAAAATTTAAACATCCCAAAGTAAACATTCCTGGGATCTTGAAATATTCAAATCATCATCAACATTGCCTGAAAAGATTCTTAATTTCTCCAAATAATAATAACAACAATAAAATCCAATCAAATCAAGAATCCATTCCGAATAATAAAATAAAATAAAAAAACACTAAAATTTGCCGAATTTTTCAGAATTTGAGAAATAAAAGAAAAACAGCGAAAGATCGATTGTAAAGAACAAAGAGAAGGAATAGAGACCTCGAGTTTAGCGGAAAGTTTGAAGATTGGGATGCAGACAAGGAAGACGCCGAACATGGCGATGGCGGTGTTGCGTTTCCAGTGTTTAGGGCGACAGTGAGGGCCACCGGTCATACTCCAAACCTTGTATCTGAAATCTCCATTGCCGCCGTTACCGTGATCTGCTGCACCACCTCCCATTTTTTTGGTTGTTGTTCCGAAATGGAAAAATCGAAACCCTAATTCGATCGATGAATCGGTTCTAATTTTACAGAGTTGGGATGGGATTGGGAGGAAGTGAAGAAAGAGAATGAGGTCCAGTGTGTGACTGACCACAGTGTTATCATATGGTTAACTGATTTGTAATTACGCTATTGGTTGGTTCGTTGGATTTTTTTTTTTTTTTACATTCCTTGGATTTATAAATGAGTTATAAAATTAAAAGTTAAATGGAAGTATAAATGTATTGGATAAGAGCTTAATTAAGAAAATAATTTTTATATATTTTTAAGGGTAAATTTTTTTTTACACAATCAATTAATAGAAAATTAATAATTTATCATGTTATTAAAAAGATTTTAAAATAAAAATAACATATAATTAAATATATGATTGTGATTAGTTAACTGTTTAAAATTTTTTTACATTATCAAATGCATTATTTGTTTTCTCTTAAATTAACTTATGTTCTAGGGCATCATATATTTTCTCTAAAATCAAGTGGAAAACAAAAACAAATGTTATGGTAATATTTTTCTTTTCTAACAAAATTTTGAATTTTAGTTTTTTAATTTAAATTAGTTGAGTTATTATTTAAACAATTATATCCTTTCAGTTTTCGTTTTTAATTTCAATTTCTCTTTTATTAACTGTTATATGACCGTTTGCATATCTTTTTCATTCCATTATTTATTATTGTTTTTATAAATAATTAAAATTAAAATTAAAAATACACATAAAATATTGTTTATATTTTCACCCGCATACACATTAAAGAAAGCGGACAAACAGACACATGAGTGCTCGTCTTTCCGTCTGGACGCTAGTTTATGTTAATTAAAATTCGTAAAATGGATTATTAAGCTTCACATCATCTTAGCCCGTGGCAAAATCATATTTTTTTATATGGGTTAAAAAGTTCAAGTGCCACATCCCACGTAATAATGAATAAGATTTTTTAGCAATATACACAATTGACTTGATAGTTAAATTTATAGATAAGCAATTATATAAAGGTCATCTTACAGTTTTATTCACTTGAGTACATCAATATAACATGAGCTTGAGCTTAGAGAAGTGCACGTTCAGGGTCAATGTCGGTAAATTTGTGAAGCAAACCCTGACAAATGTGACGCAATCATCACGATGAAAATTGCGCCAACAAAAGAAAGAATCATGAAGTTGAATGTGATGCACACCACTCTCAACGGGTTCATTTCTTGATCCTCCTAACAAACCATTTCGTTCTAGAGACTCTTGAGGAAGGAAATGCGGTTTAAGTGAACATCAAATTCTGAACAAGGATTCACATAGCTAAAACACACTCTTCTTGAAACCCCCAATTCTATTGAGACTCGTGGTCAGGGAGATCTTATTCATATATTTGATTGTCTTAGTAGAAGTAGTAATTGACATCCTCGTTAGAGAGGTAGGAACCAACTAGAACCCATACTACTTCATCTCCAATGTGTTAGTAGATCATGAGACCCACTACCAAAAGATTAAGAAGACTTACATTTCCCATTGTGGTAGCCTCAAGGAAGTTACAACACTACTTTCTAGTACATTCAATGGTGTTCAGTATTAACCAACCATTGAAATAATTATTATTCATACCAGACATAGCATGGTGCATGAGAAAATGTGTACTTGAGATCTCAGAGTTTGACATATCCACTAAACCCTAAAAATCCCTTAAAGTTTAAGCCATCTCTAATTTCATTGCAAAACTTACCCCTACACGAAGAGATTTGTCTTCAATAATGGATCATCAAACATTAGGAGAAGAAGGGTTTACCTCATTCTTGAGAGTGATTAAAGGCTTGTGGTTGAACTTTCTCTTTGCTTTGACTTATTGACCATAAATAATCAAATTTAATACGAAGTTTTCATCGCCGAGCTCACTTTAGTATTGTTCTATTATAGAACTAGAATTTGTGTTAATTGATGACATGAGACACTAGAATAAGTGATGTTGATATATAGTACGGTGGTGCAGGATAAACCTGCAAAGTTAGCTTTCTAACTCCCAAGTTAGCTATAAAGTCCAAGATGAGTATAGTGAAAATTGAGATCAGAAAAGTGTACTTTTAATCTTAGGTTTTCCAACTATGTGCATTGGATCACCTTGATTAGGCTTTGCATGATTTGGATTTTGTCTTGGGTTTTTGGTAGGCCCAAAACAATTGTCCCCAAGGCTTGTCGGATGTATATTGACCGGGAAGTCTTTCAAAGTCATGTATGGGACTATCCCTAATCCTGAAACTCCTTAATCATTCTGCAGTCCTGGATCTTTATTGGTTGTTCATGACCAAGTTTTTTCGCTACGATGATGAGACATATAGCTCATGGTGAGATCAAGCTCATATTCTAATAGGCTTCATTTGAGGTTCATTCAAAAGGTGTGGATTTAGAATGTTGCCCAGCCTCGCGAGTTTGAATCTAGACTGAGTCTGCATACTTTCACCCGCGATCTTATGTCGGGGTGATAGATTGAGGTTTACGACCGACATGAGTATGAACTGGGCTAGGTCATTTGAAACTCTGTAGATCCGTATGCGCCCCTCAGTATATCTTCACGATGGCTCGAGATCTCCATGAGCGGTTGATCAGAGTGGGATCAGAGCTCGGTGAATCTAAACGACACTGATATGAGATTTTGGATTCTCAAGACTTCAATTTCTTCATCTGAAACACTTTCAAAGTTTAGACTGAGGATTGAACGTGGAATAATGGAAATCACAGAAATAGAAAATAGATTCCCATAGATGTAACACCCTAAACCTAAAACTCTTTATTTATAAATACGTGCAGATAAATTTCTCAAACGGTGTCATACATTCTCAACATAAATCATTATTCAACAAAATTATAAAACATAGCAGTAGAATTTTAAACATAAAAAATATCTTTAATTGTTTCAAGGCTTAATATATGTTTTAGTCTCTCAACTTAATTTAATATTTCGTGTTAGTCCTTTAAAACATTACAAGTTAGTCCCTTAACTTCATTGTTGTTATACTATTTGGTCCCTTCCGTCAATTTATGAAGAAAAAACATTAAGTTATGGTGACGTAGATGTACATCAAGGTTAAGGTTCAAATGTGACTCAACATTTATACTATAAAGTATCGTTTTCACTTAAGTTTCTCAAAAAGTGAACAACATTAACCTGAGAAACTTAATTGGAAACACTATTGTAAAGTACAAATGTTGAACCAAATTTGGACCTTGAGTCTTGTTGTACATCCACGTCACCATAACTTAATGTTTTTTGTGCCAGAATTTAACAGGAGGGGTTAAATAGAGTAACATAAGTGAAGTTAAGGAACTAACTTGTAATATTTTTTAGTTAAGAGACTAAAGTGAAACATTAAATTAAGTTAAAGGACTTAAGAACTAAATATGCCTTTATTTCAAATACAAAACACTCCATTTTAACAACTAATTCAAAACCCATAACACAAAATATAGAAATAGGTAACCCATCTCGATGCTACACTATCAGAGTGATAAAGAAAATAAAATAAACCCAAAAGCGATAAACCACAAAGAAGGCATACATGCCATCCTCCAAACACGACAAGAGCCAAGACTCATCTATAAGTATCTACAACACCAACATAGCGAACAAGACAATAACAAATAAGGGATGAAATTAAGTTCACAGATATTATTGGTGTATAAAACAACAAGGCTATTTTTCAACAATAATATTCAACAATCATATAAAATATTTCACAAACATTGATCAATAAAAAATGCAACATTATTTAATGCAATGTGACTCATCACTACTAACTCAACATGCATTTGGTATCAAGTTTTTGGATTCCAGAGTTATTGTGTCACTAATTGATCCAGGCCTCTGGTTCCTCATCTGAACCAACAACTCCACCAATGAATCTGAGATCCGCCTCTGGTTCCTCATATGAACCAACGATTCCACCAATGAATATGATGCATGAAATGCAATTGACAACATCTATACACTACTCAACAACGGTTCTTTGTCTAAAGTAAGTAAATATTTATTTGTGTGTTATTTGAAATAAATAAATAAATAAGTAAGTAATTATTTATTCTAAATTATTAAGTTAAATATTTATCATTAGAAATATTAACAATAAAATTGATTGGCCTATTTGTAACGTGATTACCATTTAACTAAAATGGACTTGAGTTTAACCAAGTACTTGAACTCTAGAGGGAAAAGAGCTTCCACTAATGACAAATCATTCGGGTACTATCCGAGTTTGATTCTTGGTGGAAACTATTTACCATGGAATTTAGTAAACAACCGTTGATATTTCAAATCTTAAAAAATGGTAACTTGCAGGATCGATCCAATTGATCCTAGGTACATGTATTATTATTTAATATTTTTGTTCTTAAAAAAGTGTTTTTGATAACATCTTCATTATTTTAGACAAAGGTTATTTCAATGGTTATCTCGTATATAGTAATGTAATGCTTTAAAGATAAAACTGGAATGTAAAAGGCGTTCGACTGAAAGTTAAATGAAATGTATAAAACTTTAAGTAAAGTTGAATAACTATGAATATAAAAGTGGTGCATCATACGTACATTCTAACAAACTCGTTTCTCTTAATGTTGATACTTTGGGTGATTTTGAATATTTTGTACAAAAGATGAAAACATACCGAATCCTAACACTAAGACCCCCCTATTTATACTAATTTCGACCAAACGGTCTCTAAATAATATGATGCCACGTTCGACAATTGCACGCGCCTTCGAACTCCAAGCTTCCACGCGTCTCTTTGGACAAGATTAATCTTTTTGAATTTGAAACTCCTTGTCTTCGAAGCGCCAAAACGTGACAATTGAAATAATGCTCATTGATACTTCGAATAAACTTGAACTCTCTATGATTCGCATACGAACCTTTTGCCAACACTTAGCAAGAATAAAGCTTCAATTTAGCTCTTCACTTATCGAAGTCTTCACATAGACTCCTTTACTCTTTCCTTCAAATTACATCATCTAAAATATATCATTTCAACTAAACTTCATGTAGTCGAAATTTCCAGTTAACAGAAATAAGGTTTGGCTAGTGAGTCGTCCCTCTGATCCACGATACCAGATTAGCCGATTCACTATGTGGATCAGAACTAATCGGCTAAATCTATAAAAAAAATAGACTTAGGTTCGAGATCCCATGGATACAAATTTAATTTGTTTTAAATTCATAATTGTTTAATATTACTCCAAATCACGTGAATTATTTTTTATCGATTTACATTAACCTAGTGGTAAGACATAAGACGTGCCTTAACGGTTCCATGTTTGTTTCTTTCATAAACAATTTTTAATTTTTTTTTTATATTTTCAAATCTGAATCATTTAAAAATAAAAATAAAAATAAATTTAATATTTAAAAAATAAAAATAAAAAATAAAATTCAATGTAACTGCCAATATAATTGTTAAAAAATGCATGTGACATAAATAATTCATAGGATGGTTCAGTCACGGTTTAAAAAGAATATCAATTTATAAAAATATTAACAAACGAACTAGCTTTGAATTATATGTTTTTTTAATATCAAAATGAAAATGAGTCTCGACTCTTATTTTAATTATAGTTAAAAATTTATAATACATCATTAGTAACTTATATTTATTTGCAATAATTTAATAATTTAATTAATGTAAAAAAATTGTACACGATCATTTAATAAAAAACCCACAAAACTGCTAAATCATCTTATCCTATTTTGTAATAATCTAAATTGATGAAGATATTTCCCGTGCAATTGCTCAGGTTTTTAAGTAATAAATAAATGGATGGCATTCGTATTGGACAATCCAACAAAAGAAGCATTGGACACGTTTCAACATTTTGTGGTGAACAACAGAATATAGACAACTTGGAAGTTGTCGAAACATTTTTGGATTCTAAATCACATCATGTGATGCTATTTCATCGTTCTCTTAAAGTTCAAAATAGAACATTATGATCAATTCAATTTGTAACAATAATAATATCACTAGTTAATTCTCATTTTGATTTGTCATAGATACATAGATGCTACAGAAGAAAAAGAGATTTGAACTATGATGGTTTGGATTCTTCAACAACACTTTGATTTCTTTCTTCAACACTAAAAGTTTGAGAGATTTTTCTAGGTGGATTTTCCTCAATGAACTTGATCAAACCTTTTTCACCACCTGGAAACCCTCCAGTTAGCCCCATCATTTCCTTCTCAAAACCATCTTCTGGAATTTCAACAATATCACTAGTCAACTTTTCTGTGTTTTCTTGCACTTTTTCATTGGATGATGATGATGGTGATGGTGATGGTGTTTCCTCTTTATCAATTTTCCTCTTCAGCTCTTTTTCAACTCCTTTCTCTCCATTGCATAATCCTCTTCCTCCCATCATTTTTAGTATGTTGAATTCAGCACATATTTTGGGTTGACAAGTTAGATTTCTATGGTTTCTCTTGGATGTTTTTATGAGAGGAAATTGAAGATCTAGGCTTAGGAATTGGGATCTTAGAAGAGAACCGTGAAGGCCTTGAAGAGAAGCAAAAATAACCATTTTGAAGTGAAGTTAGGTGGAAAAAAAGAAAGAGTTATGATGTAATCATCTTAAAAATGTTAATGAGTTTTGGATGTATAGTTCAAAAAATCTTGATGAATAGATTGCTATGAAATTCTAACCACAAATTAATATCTTATATATTACATCCAATACGTGGTTGGTTGAAATTGATTACATCTATCCAAAAAATGCATGTGGACAAAAGTATAAGGCAGGTGGATCAAACTCATCTACCTCTCTAGGAAAATGTCACATTTATTGGATTAATCTAATGGTTGAGAGATCAAAATTCTTAACTCATTAGATAAATTCAACGACTACCATTTTTCTTAAATAAGAAATGGAAAAATTAAGCGCAGACGTGCATAGTCGAGGGTGCAAACCTAAAACTTTGGTTTGTCTCACAATAAAATATGGAAATACCGAGACCACATCTTTAAAGCCTAAAAATTTTAAAAATTTATGTTAATGTCCGTGTCCGAAAAAAGATGGAACAAGTAAGATACATTAAAGGGTGCGGGCCTTAGTCTATCCTATGAAAAAATGCAGACAAAACGGACATATCCAGTGGACCAAACCCGTTTTGTAACCCCAAAAGAAATTAGGAAAACAATTATGCAACACAAACATCTACTAGTAGTTTTTTAGCCATCATTCTTACTATCAATCAAGAGGGTAAGCACAAAAATAATTACAATATCACTTCATATTTCCATTTGTATAAACAAGGTAGTAATGTGGAAACTACAAGTCAATTCAAATCTTGCAGGGCTGGTATATGACATACTTCAGCTAGCGGCTAGGGAACCGTGCGACTTCTCGATAAGCAGCTCGAGTCTCTGGTCATTATTATAAAGAAAAAAGTAATTGAAGTATAAATGCAAATTGTTAAAAACTAAAGAAATTGTGTTTCCATTTCATTTAGTTGAACAAGATCTTCAATAGAATCAATGCTTTATTAAGATGAGATACAAACCTTTACTGATTTACTGATTTCTTCGAGTTTATTAAGAAGCAATCCTCCGCCTATTCTGCGCTCTATTGAAGAAGAACGCGACGAGCCTATCTTCTGCAGATTAGTGTAAGATAGAAGTTTATATGACTGAAATTCAAGCAAAAAATTATAGGTTATAAAATATGGCATCATAATCCTAGGTAATAGGATCTCTATCACACTAGAATTCGTAAATTGCATTGCATTATCTACTAAGTTTCATAAATTAATGTGCACCTTCAACGTAACCAACAAACCTTAAACTCAAACATTTGTAAAACACATAAGCAAGTTTCTTACAAAGATCACCATTATCACCTCAGCTGTTGCTGGCATACAAGCCATGTTTTGCACGTCTATGCTTGGAGCAATATGCCTCCAACTTTTACTCAAATCTCCTGAGATCTTTGAAGCTTCTGTTACAATCACCTGCAAATCAATTGCATTGTTTTAAGATGATGACATCCCCGTTGGACGCATTTAGTATAATGTTGAAGAACCACAATGATGCAGTAAATGTTAAGGATGACCGATTACTAACATCTCAGTCACAAAGTACAAAATTGTGCTACAAAACATGTTTTGTTTCATACCTTTCTCAAAAGACCGGGGTCAGAAATTCCTTGAAGTTGTAGTTCATCAACCGGAGCAGCCTTACCATGAGCAATACTTTCGATGCGAAAAGTGTGGACACCATATATAGACTGCACACAACCTGAATAAGAAAATAGGAAATCCAGTTAAAGGAGATCTACAAGACATAACACAAAGGATAGTGAAGTAGGATCTATATATGAAGCACGAACACCAGAAACACGACACCGACACTGACACGTCAACACAAATAATAATTTGAAAGAATGAATAAATTAAACATAATTACAAGTGTCAGTATTAGTTTCACACTAACACAGACACACCTTTTTTCAGAGGTGTCAGTGCTACAGAGAGGAGAACGCGTGAAAATAATCTGGTAAGACCTGCATCAGTACCTTGTTCAATAATAATATCAATCACCAAAGAAAGAGGTACACTCCTCTCAATTGTTATGGTCCCCCAAAACGGTATAAACGAAGGCCTTGACACCTAGACCAACGAAGAAACGGAAGGAAAAAAATCACTTCTCAATCAAACTCATAATACAACATTATAAACACACATAACAATTCATACATATATACTACCTTGTAAGCTATTTCAGTTTGTGTAACATATAATCTGCGAGAAGCGAAATCCTTTCGAAGTACATATCTCCTAAAGGGAAGGTAAAGCAACATTAAGAGGCCAACTCCCCAAGCTAAAATAAGCAGTAATGATATAGAAAGCCATATGACGGTATCATATTTAATACTATTGCTTGCAAGTTCTTCAAAGGAAACTGAGTAAAGTATCTGTTCCGAACAAATTTTCTCTTCTTCATCATCATCACCAAATTCAGAACCAGAATCTGCAAGTATTTGGTCCTTTGATGGTCTCAGTTCTGATAGTCGATCAGTGTGACCCAACATTTCTGCAACTACAAATCATTCAAGAAGAGAGGAACACATAACAATATTAGCCAAAAAAAACTACAAAACCCTTTATCCTAGAGCAAATACTACTGACATAAGTAAGTCTTTCAGAGTGAATTGTGAAAACTCATTAGGATAGCAACCGAAGATCAACTACTATGAAGCACGGACACAGATATAGACACTGAACATGATACTGACACGCCGACACGGATAATAATTATAACAAAAATGAATAAATTGAACGTAATCTTAAAAGTCAGTGTCCGACACTGACACAAACATAAACACACCTTTTTTTCAAAGGTGTTGTGCTATAGAGATCAAACATTCAAACATATACCGAAAACTCCAGTCCCGAAGCACTGTACAGTATTTTCCAATGCCTTTATACCTCTCAAAAAACGTAAACAGCCAATGCCAATGAAATTTTCACGTTCACATACTCTTCAGTTCTAAACAGTGTGAAAACTTTTGAGAAAGGATAACATGATTCTAGAAATATAATTTTTGTTTTGCATCTTTGATGATTCTAGGACATTAATAGTTCTACATTTAACTTATTTTTAACCAAAATTATTCATTTACAATATATTTTAAGACCCTTTAGAGAACTTGCCACGAAGATTGATGGAAAAGGAACAGATTAGTAAAATCTAAGATAAAGTTGAAATTTTTACCTCGTACATGGGAGAAATGTGATGAAATGGTTTGATGGGTATGTGAATGGGAGCTGCAAAAGTGATGATTCAATGGGCGGATTCTTTGTAATCTCTTGTCGGTAGGGTGTGTGAGAAATACACTGAAAATGTCACCAAACATTCAATTCAAAGTATGGTTGCAGATGTATTACTATTTACTAGTTAGGTACTAGCGTTATTCATACCGAGAATTTCTCTTTACATTCATTTTTGAAAAATCGAAAATATCTTTCGGAGATGTCATTCTTAATGGACTTATCAATATGATTCAGATGTGTATCTTTGAAGACACTCTTTTTCTAGGTTTTATAACGTAAATGTTAGATTTGAAAATTTTGAAGTAATTTGGGATATGCGCATTCGAAACTTCATTTGTTTGTGTCATTTTTGTTTACAACAACATAGTTATCCCTACCATATAAACGGACAAATTATTTTGAAAATATGAAATGAATATGACATTTCAGACATAACGATTATATTAGATGTTCAAACATATGGAAACTTAATTTAGTACATAAGTTATTCGAAAAGTGCGTAACGTAAAAATATTACATCAGTTACAAAAAAACAATACATAAAATATAGGCTACTGCTACTGCGTATGCCTGATCCTCACCCATGTAACCTCCTTTGCCGATTGTAATATGCCGCACTAGATGCCTCCCTAACAATCCTCCCAACTATTACAACTGCCTCAAGACCACCCCTCTCGATGATACTGAAATCCAATGCCTCATATGCAACTAGGTGTATTCGCTGACAGACCGACAAGAAGTCGCATGGTCATCCTCAGCCAGTTGGTTCTCCAAGATCTTCTCATGAGCTGACCTAGGTGGTCGTCCAGGATCATCCGGTGTCATTAACGGTAAAAGTTGAAATAAAAGGTACCGTGAGGAGTGTGCAAGAACCTGTGAGTTGTCTCATCGTCTACCTTGAAGCTTCATTCGGCTTCTGGTACATGTATGTCAAAATGGCGGTTCCCCAGTTCCACTCATGAATAGTACTCAGATCCATAAAATACCAGAAGTATATCACATCTACGTAGTAGACACTTTTGTCCACAAAGAGGGAGGTGCCAACCATAAACATGAAGTAACATCGTAAAGCACAATCTCAATGGTACTGGACAAAAACCTTATCACCATCATTCTTGGCCACCACTGTTGTAACCAGGTGCTCCTCATATAGATCCTTTAGGTGCGCAAATTTTGCATGCGCCCCATTTGTGATTCTGCAGTCTTCAGCTGCCCTATATGGATCAACACCCAGATACTCAATAATCCATTTGATCGCCTCAGCTCGTGTTATCTTGTGATGGTTAAGTAACCTCCCTCTGAGAGGTAGATGGAGCAAGCAAGCAACGCCATCAAGTGTGATCGTCATTTCTCCAACAAGAAAGTGGAAAGACGATGTCTCCTTGTGTCACCTCTCAGCAACGACACCCTGCATTCTGTGGCTTATAGTACTGTAACCAGTGCAGCATAATCCAAAAAGTCTGGATTCAACAACGACCTCATGGAACCAATCAGCCACATGTATAAATAACTCAAATATTTTCCGCGAGTGATTCACGGACTTAATTGGCAACCGTTCCTGAAATCAAAAAAATAATAATCGTTAATTATAAATTTGTGACTAAACTTATATAATGAAAAAGTGTAACCAAAAAAATACCTCTCCGTCCCAAACATGTCAAGTGGCATGAACATTATAATAGATCAATAGGAAGGTGTCATAAGGCCCTCCTGGATAGTCGGTGTCCTCTGCGGATTCCTCAACATGCTCGGGAACCTCATCCCCCTCGGATACCTTAAACTCCTCGAGAACCTCCTCATCTGGTATCTGCTCATGCACACGAGAGGTGGATGCATGAGACATACGACTCCTTGGTGCAGAAGAAGAACCTCTAGCCCCTTCACCCCGTTGTACCTAACCCCGTCCTTGAGGTCTGATAATCTACTGCGCATCTCTCTCTCTCTTCGAGTAGAGGCAGTCTGGCTTGGTCTCCATTGTCTCAAACGATTGTCTCGTCCTGGTTGTCCACCATAATCCTAAAAAATTAATTTAAATTTTTAATTAAAAAAACAACTCAGGCAAGAATTCGGATGTGCACATCCGAAAATGGTCTAAGAGGATTTCAGATGTGCACTTCCGAAATCACATGTGTACCCATTTTCAAGAAGCAACGCAACTTCTTCTTGCAAATATCCAAATACAATTTTGTCACCCAAACACCTAAGTTTAACTATTCTAAAAGCAATCTACACAATGTCATTGATTCTAACTAATCTAATCAACTATTATACATTGCATAGTGAATCAAATGGAAATGAAGAAAACTTACACAAACTTCGAGTTTTGGGGATGAGTTGAAATGACTTGAAATGACTTGAAATGGGAGAGATGAGTAGAAATAAATTAGTGCTTCAAGTATGGATATTAGAAATTAAGGGTTTTGGTGTAGAAAAGTGAGGTTTTTGTGTTTTAATGTAAATGGGTATGTTTTGTTCGTTGTTTTACAAATAACATAATGATTTCGGATGGGCATCTCCGAAGTCATAAATTATGGGATAAATTCAGAGATGCATATCCGAAATCACTTTTTTTTACAAAATAAGGTGACTTCAGATATGCATATGCGAATACACCTGTTTTTTTGTCAAGTATTTTGGAATGTGTAGGGGGTTAAGGTTGCAAGTTGAACCTTTATTAGAAATTTGATGTAAAGATTTGAAGTTAAATGTTAAAAGTATGATTATAGTAAAATTTCAAAGTGTTATTTTCGAAGATTTGACATAGGTTAAATGACTTTTGACCGAACCATTATAAACTATAGTGTGATCTCTTATTTCAAATACCTCTAACTTTTAGTACTCTTGCTATTGCTCTGCTTTCCAATTTATTGTTCTTTAATTTTTTTGATTAGAATAGTTTTTTTAACACTTTTAAAAACAATTATCGTAATTATTAAAAGTACAATAGTGAAAAGAGTGTCTACTCACGTAAAAATTGCGAGAGTCTTTATGGATACCCTTGAAATTATTAGGTTGAGGTTATTTATATAAGACCCTGTGAGTATAGGCTAGAAATCCAGAGAAATGGTCTCCAAGTTCTCTGATCAGAAAGATGGGAATAAGGAAGACTGATTCTCTCACAAATTATAGGGGAGACGAGTTTTCCCCATGATTGATATTTATAGACTGTTATTTCTTGGACACCTCACAGGCCACATGAGATAAACGAGACATATCATGGATTTTAGTTTGGGAAGGGCAACCTAAGCCCAATCGGCGACTTGTACATCATTTTGAGTGACCAACTATGTTTTGAGAAAACTATGCTTCAAGTTCTTGCCCACTATTATGAAGGTAGAGAAAATACAAGAAAGGGGGATTTGAATTGGATTTTTAGAAAACATTCCTCTTTAGAAAACTATTTGATTGAACTATGAAATAATATAAAATGCAATAAATAAAAAGATACACATTCGATTATCCAGGCACAACTTCAACAAGGCTACTCTTGTCCACCCTCCTCAGGTGATTTTGCCATAGACAAGGACTTAATCCACTAATCTCAATAGATTACAGATGCACGAGCTCCTCACCGATGACTAACAATAAAAATGATCTGCAACCATTGACCCCTTAAGAAATATGACCAACCTGGTCTTTCTTAACACGATTTCTCACAATTATCCACTGCTAGTGATCTTCTTAAGAATTCTGACCTTTCTGGTACCCTAAAAGATATAGCGATCATTGACCCTATAAGAATTGACCAATCATGATCCCTTAACAGGATTTCATCTACAATGACCGCAACCAAAATCTTCTCAAGTATTCTGATCTTCACTCGATCACTTGAGGCAACACCAATTCTAAACAGAATTGTTTTTATGGAGATTACATGAGTGCTTATTATTAAGTAGATTAGTCATAATTTAAGTACATATTGTTTAACACAATTCTGAGCAACAACTCTTGTGTTTTAAAAACTTACATGAAGAATTACAAACTATAACACAATCTGAGCAACAACTCTTGTGCATATTACATTGATATACAAAGATTAGAATCTTGTAATGTTCTTCTTCTTCTTCTTATTCTTCTTCTTCTTTGTTGAGCAATATCTGAGTAACAACTCCTTGCTTCTTCATATTTCTACAAAGATGTATTTGTTAGAGTTTGAATAGCATCTTGTAGTATTCTCCATCTTCATCTTCTTTCTTTGTTGAGCAAGTTATGAGCAACAACTCCTTGCTTCTTCATTCTTTTCATATATTCTTTTTATATCTCTTTTTGTGTTTGGACTTCATTGTCGTCAATATGATCGACTAAATCTCCATTATTAAAGTTCTGGCTATCAGATCTCGAATGTGCTAAGACATGTCGAGACACCAAATCCGACTTCAAAATGCAACAATAGGATATACAAAACAAAAAAAACAATGTTAAAGTTAAATAACACACATGCATGTTTACCCAGTTCAGAGCAACACTCCTACTAAGGGGGCTACAAAGCTAGGGATGAAATCAACTATGATAGTATCAATTTATAGACCACAAAGCAAACACACCAGTTTATAATCTACACACTTAATTACTACCCTTTGCTTAACTTCTACCTAAGACTCATCTTGGTATGAGGCCCTTCTCAAATCTCTCTTCAATCACACTCAGAGATTGGAGCAACTCTAAACACAATAGAGAACAAAAACAACCGAAAATCACTCTTGCAAGACACACAATCCTCAATGCTTAAAAGCTTATGAGAACTGGCACACAAATACTCAATACTTAACAGCTTATGAGCATCTGACACACAAACATCCAATGCTTAAAAGCTTATGGATGCTTGACAGAACTTGCAATCCAAAATAGTCCTACTCTTCTATCAATATGATATTAGAGAGACTCACAAATAAGGATTCTAAAACACTAACAAAATACACACGTAAGTTCCACCTAAAACTAGGTATACACCAGTCTATATATAACATTATTCTGGACTGAATTGGGCTTCAAATCGCAATAGTGAGGCTGCACAAAGTCTGCACAAGCTTCTCCAAGAAAATAGGTCTTCAATTATTTGTTACCTAAAATGTATTCATATTTA